CCTTTGTTCATCTATATCAACTTGACAGTCCAGCCTCATGTTCTTGGCAAGTTTTTGGAAAAAATGTATTATATAGACACCGCAGTTAAAACCATCTTTTTGTATAACGTGGTCTGGTATTTTAAAATTGAACTTGGTTATGCTTATGTTTTTATACCTCAAAAATGTTGACAGTCTTTCACAATAAGTATTTTTGAAGAGTAACTCATTACCCATGGGATCAAGAAATGTCACTAAATTTTCCGTGATAGAGAAAATCAGTAATGTGTAATGATTATTTTGGAGAACTGGCATAACTATCAATCTTTGGTGAACGTAACGCTTTCAACGAAGGAAATGGGATAATTGTTGTCAGAAAATATTATCGATGATTTCGAAACTGAAACGATTTGGAATTTGTTGCCGCTGGATCTATTGATTGTGTGCAGGCAGTGATCTACGACGAAATTACTTAGATACTGCCTATCATCCAGTGTAGCAAAATCGTCCTGAAGCAGCTCTTAATTGAAAAGTACAGATCTCTGTTTACTAATACTACGTAACCCCTTTTATCCGGCAACGTCGTAGAAATAAATGTTTTCTACCAAACCGTTATCCATAACTTTTATTGGTTCGGCAGTTGTCCACTTCCTTTGTGACTTGGATAGGTTTGAAAAATTTAGAACAGAAGGTAATAGATGGAACAAGTAAAACGTTCTCAATTTTTTAAGCATTATCGTCCAAAACTTTTTATTCCTGGTCACTCGCAGGACTTTGACACCTTTGAACGTATAAATGACTAAATCGCACCAAGACCGATCAGTTATTTCAAGTAAACTGTATTTGGTAATGGTAATTATGTATCCCTCGAACAGATTCTCCATTCTTATTCAGAAAGTCGAAATCATATTTTTGGGGATTGAAATTTCGAGCATTGCACGGGTATTTTACCTCTACAATACCGTCTTCTCCTACAAGCCCATCTGGTGAAGCAGCAAGATAAGGGTACTCACGGTGTATCATCAAGCCAGCCGTAGAACAGTACGTTCATTTGTTTTTCGTACAGTTGTATGGCGTCTTTCTCATATTTGAGACCGTGAGTAGTAGCTGGAGTTCTTATACTGTTTCCACCTCTAATCGCAGCTACTATGTTAGCGTACGGGTTTTCATCCCTTACCTTGCAAATTCTTCCGAAATACGACGAGGTAACTCCGATTGTCTTTCTTCCTGACATCTTATACTGTTGCTTTGAAGGCGTGTATCGCGTTCTATCATAGAAATCCGTTCTGGGGATAACTTTATGGACTCTAAGTGTTCCTCACAGCTCTGACAGATATCACTCGAATGGATATTTGAGGAAGCTCTGATGTGCATATCTTGCATGTGAAATTGAATGTTTCCATATCGACTTTGTTTTCCAATTTCAAACAATATTCATGTACCCATTTCTTACATGCAAAGCACTGGACCCAATTAGTGACAACGTCCGTAGTACCATGGCCACAATAAATGCATTGAGTGAAATCGTAATCGTCCTCGGAAAAAACGCAGTCCTGAATGGCGATTTTATTATCTTTGTCGCGATTACAATAGCTGATTTTAAATATGTACCACTAAAGTGAGATGTGTGATTTATTCTCCGTCTATTCCAGGCTCCTGTGAAAGTTTTTTGTTTGAGTTATCTTTGCTTCTCGCAAGGCGTGTCTTAGATACTTGAAGGTTACTCTCCTTGCTCAAAGACTGCATATCTTCTCAGTATCCTGACAAATTCTGAACATTTCAGATTGCGCCTTTCATTGAGAGAGTTTTGTTTCAACTGTCCGAAATAGTTTTCGACATAAGCGTTGCTTAACAGAGGGCCACTTTCTATCATCAATTTCGACCAAAGCGGACAATATGGCATGTATTTTTTGCAACAAGTTGTAGCATATCTTTATTGAAGTATTCACTTTTGTTATCCCTCGGAGCAAATGTAATTGAGATTTTTTGAGTTAAAGATAAATATCGCTTATAAAAAGGACTTGAAGTATAAATTACTTCATCAGATATTTGGTGGTCGATTTCAATAGCATTTTCAATATGAATGAATTCATTGATACTTTCAGGCTGGAATTCATCTGCTGCCTTTTTGAAAAATAGTTTCAATCGTTCAACTAAATGACTATTGTATTGGGAGTTCAAGATAATATAGGTATTACAAACGAAATCATCAAAATCGTTGATGTTATGAATGGATAAGCCACCTGCCAGCATATCTTTGAAATATCGACGCTGTGTCATTTTTCGCTATGCGGTCAACATCATGACATATCATTTTTAAAATGAGCACAGCACAAGTATATTTTAAAGTCACTATTATCTGCCGATTTTCATTCTATGGCTTTATCGTAACATAACTGAATATATTCCGATATAGTAAGTATGTTAAAGGCTTTGCAAATAGGATGCACATTTGCAAATGAAAAGTCGGTGACGACACCCGATAACGCTGGCCAATCATTTCCTTGGGGGTGAAAATGAATTTTTTAGCATATTTTTTTATCTGCCAGCCTTTCAGAAGCTTTCTCACACCATGCCACCTAGCCTATAATAGTCTCTATAATAGAGTAATTTTTTGAGGTACAACTGATTTTGGGGAATCATTTCCTTGGGGATGAAAATGATTTTTTTAGCATATTTTTTTATCTGCCAGCCTTTCAGAAGCTTTCTCACACCATGCCACCTAGCCTATAAATAGTCTCTATAATAGAGGATTTTTATTGAGGTACAGCTGATTTTGGGGAATCATTTCCTTGGGGGTGAAAATGAATTTTTTAGCATATTTTTTTATCTGCCAGCCTTTCAGAAGCTTTCTCACACCATGCCACCTAGCCTATAAATAGTCTCTATAATAGAGTATTTTTTGAGGTACAACTGATTTTGGGAAATCATTTCCTTGGGGGTGAAAATGAATTTTTTAGCATATTTTTTTATCTGCCAGCCTTTCAGAAGCTTTCTCACACCATGCCACCTAGCCCATGAATTGTCTCTGTAATAGAGTATTTTTTTGAGATATAAATCATTTTGGGGAATGATTTTTTTGGGGGTGAAAATGAAGTTTTATTTATATTTTTTCTTCTAGCACCCCTTTAGAGATTTTCTCAGTATATGCTATTTAGCTCATTAATTACTTTCAATACAGTAATCGGTAAGTGAAAATTCGAAGAAAGGTTTTGGGTTAACTCTTGTTCCTGCCAATTATTTAATTAGGGTGGAAAATGATTCTTCCTATAGGGGTGCTTATTCTCGTGCATAATATTTATTGTTGCGAGCTGTTAGCTGTATCCTTCACAATCACAGTCTGGTCGAGGATGTCGACGCCACTGGTCATTCGGGTATCTTCGGCAAATTGTCCGTTAAATTTTGTCTGCCAACTTCACACCGGTTGATTGACCGGGGAAGAATTAGGTTTGACGGACACCATCGTTCATCAGGTCAAGAACAACTAGGTGTTACATCACGATACGGCTCCTTGTTACGCAGCAAGGCCAATAAGCGGGTAGAAACATTCATGTGGCTCCTTAGCCTACTAATTCGCCTGACCTGAGGCCTTGTGACTTTTTTCCAGAAGTTGAAAACTCACCTCCAGGGAACTCATTTTGGAACGGTCCGAAAACATTCAAACGACCAGCTGAATGCTATTCCAGAATCGGAGTTCCAGCACTGCTATAAGGAGTGGAAGAACCATCTCCAGCACTATGTGATTTTAGAAGGAAGTTATATGAATTGTAATTATATTTGAACAAGAAATTTTCAAAAAATCAGTTTCATCACTTAATTTACAGACCTCGTAAAATATGCAGGGTGTGGCAGAAGTGCCGGAACGGCTCGATAACTATTGGGAAGGCATTTTCGGAAAAAAACGCTACTAATAGAAGTTGTAGAATTTTAACCTTAGCTACCTTGGATGTGACATTTACCTTGGCCGTGACCTTGGAAGTCGACCTCAAAATTTTAGCCTGTACTTTTGCTTTGAATCCATGAAAAAAGTTTAGCTTTAACGAATTAAGGATGCTTAGTATTGGGTATAGGTTGGTATTTTTCTTTTGTTTTTACAGATAATACGATTTTTGTTAGGTATTATATGCAATTTACTTGTGCGAACAATTTAAAACTTCAACTTTAACTTAAATACTTCATACACGAGCACAATTGACCTCCATGTTAGGGACAAGCCTGGAAAAAGGTGCAATGTAGAGATGCTAAGATATTCAGACAGCTCCACTGATTTTTTTTTTCAGATAAACTACGTTTTGCGTTTTTTACCACCTTATACTCATTATTCAAAAACTAAGAAAAATGTATGAACTAGGAGAGAATTCAGTATACTAAAAAATTGTTAACTGTCAAGATACGCAGGCTACCAAGACTTTGGCGATGTCTTATACTCGTACGAACGTATGTGGAATATAAATAAGGCGATTTCTTTTGAAATAAAATCAACTTTGATACGTACCCTCTGCTGGTACCATATACACCCATTATTAGCTTTCTATGAAAGTATTTTATTCAGACGCACGGTTGGGACAACGTATACAATATTCAAAGTACTTGGCAGCATGTGAGGGCAACGAATTTTTATTGGCAATTACATTTTTTCAGGAATACGGTGGTCTAATCTAAGGTTTCACCTATGAAGATATTCCAAAGATTCTACAATATAAATTCGAGTAATACCACGGTACGTTTATTATTATAATATCTTGTTTTTAATCCATGACTAATTCTATGATCATGTTGTGATGACCTTTGTCTAAAGTTGCTATGGTGTATAAAGATTAAAAATTGAAATCGTGTAAATAACGATTTCAGTCCAGATATCAGCTTATTATCATCTTTCACGGCGGTATAGATAAAACCATGATCCTAGCTCCGGACTGGTAATTAGTCTGAGAAACTAAATCCGCCAACATGTTCATAACTATATATTATTATCAGCAATCGTTGTTGCAGTATTGGGTGCCTGCGACAACCCAACTTCAGTAGCTGATCTTGACAGGAAACAGGTGAGCATGTAGCCTAGCATTAACCTTCCACCGTGCTTCTGTTTGCAGTGCTCAAGACTGCTAGGTCATATACTTAAGTTTATATAATCTGAGTACAACTGTAAGTGGAGTGCTCTTAAGTTTAAATCTCGGGTTTTATTCATAAATTTTTGAGATTTTTTGTGGTTTGCACTTAAAATACCATGTACCAAGGAGTTTACCTGCCAATTTATTACAGGTATTGATTTTGTGGATTGTTTTCAGTTTTTTAATTTAGTTTATATACGTATACGGTAATTTCGGCTCATAATACATTAGCTGATATAACTCATTAAAGTGAACAAAATGTTAGATTGTGTTTTACGGCTTCCTTACTGAGACACAGGGTGATCGGCTCCATATCTACTAATGTTGACATTTTCAATTTCTGACATATTACTCCAGTTAGTTATATGAAACTCTGTGAATCGACTATATGTATTAAGGGATTAAGTTTGTATTGTTTATATCTTAGTGAGTTATTCTATTGGCATCGCTATTAAATTTTGACCGTTCCGGAATTTAACTAAGTAGACCACTGGTTTCTTTGTGGGTATGATCAAGGGACCTTAAAACTAACAAAAATTATTCTTACACATAAATAGACAACTACAGGGACTGTACAAATACAAATCAACCGAATGTGAATCTTAGAGAAAAAAATGAAGACGAATACGCTCCAGTATTTATATAGTAAATGTGCTTCGTTTAAAAGCTGTGGGGGTTGCTGCGTTTCTCGCGTCCTGACGAGTAAATATGGAGCGATCCCCACATTACTGTTTAATTCTGAGAGTTTTATTATTTGGTCAGTTTTTCCAGTTACAAACCCTTAACAAACTTGTATTCAAGCAGGACAAAACCTTTTCATCTGGAAGTCGCTGGAACGCACTGATAAGGGAACCAAAGGCGTGCTTATAGTTAAACCCCGAGATATATATAATTCAGCGCTTCAGGCCTGAAGGCCCATGGCTTCTATCTTTTTGACAACTTCTTTCCACGCTTTTCTGTTTTTGGTCTTTTCCTCCCAGTCTGGTATGCCTAGTCTTTGTATATCCTCTTTGACACTTTCCAGCCACTGCTCTTCGGTCTTCCTCTTCTTCTTCTACTACCTTCTCCTCCAAACAAAACTTTTTTGGCATTCCTATGAGACTTAAAACTTAAAACCTGTCGAGCTAAGTCGCATACAGCCAGTAATTATTATCTTAACCGTCAACCTACAGAGGCTTCATCCAAATCACTCAGTAAATTAGGTTAGGTAAAGAAATGAAGTTCAGTCTCAGTAGCGACGCTCTAAAACACGTAGGTTCACCTGTACGTTTTTGGTCAGTTTGACGAGGTCTACCAAGAAATAATTTAATACACCTGAATAAGTATACTCATAGAAAACCAAATGTTAAAAAAATTATAATCGATTGAAAATCAAAAGGCATACAAAAATTAATAGCTAAGCTGATCAAATCTCAAAATCATTTAGAGGATATGGGCCTATGGTTTTTGTATTTTTACGCCAATCTAACCTCCACTATCCTTTTCAATACGACTAGTTGGGGTAAATTATTTAGTGGATAAAACTACATATTTGATTCTCGTTTCAATCAGCTTCTAACATTTTAGAGTCATCATACATTGTTGATTTTTGGAATTTTGACGTTCAGCTACAAGTACCCTTATTATTTTCTGCATGAAATTATGTTCTACTGTTTTGGATATTTTATGATAGATAGCCCAACACAGTTAACTGATGTTCCTTTTGATACACTGTATGTATCAAAAAACAACTGACAGATTTATACGAGATATAAACTTCTTATTCACTAGCATGCTAAGATGTGAACAGCTTTCGGTAATTGTCAAATACCAGTATGGTATTTACAACAAATTGCTATTGCAACCTACATACATACTTTTAATTCGTACACCATTGGCAAAACCTGTATGTCTGCGAAATTTCTAGCTTTTTCCGAACAAATTTGCTTACTTGAAATAAAGAAACATACTTCACGTAAGCAAAGCGTTTTTTACCATAGGGATCTCGGAAGCTGTAAGAGATACGAAGTCGCTTAAATCGGGGAAAAGCCATTAACATTGCCTCTCTCCTCTACAATACGGCATAATTAGAATTTCAAAATGACGTTTCGTCTCTTGTCCTCCAGCATCAACTTAACACTTTCTTATGGACGCCATATTGAATACTTACACATATGAATAGAGCTTTTAATTCTCATTCAAAAAATGTATGTATACCTCATACATTGAAATTGCCAAACCTTAGCTACTTAAAAAAGCAGAATCGCCTAGGTAGGCCTTGAAATAATCAGATACCCATTTGTTTCGTATATCAGATTTATCCCAAAGTTATTTTTCCTGACCTTATTTGAGATGAGATTTCAAAATAAATTGCATGTTGTCATGGTTACTTATTCTCCTCTACAAGATGGCATAATTAAATTTTCAATTCCCTCTTTCGACTCCTTGTTTTTTCATATGGACGCTCTACAGATATTGGAATTTTGCATATTCAAATGAACCTTTTTATTGATAATAACAACAGTCATAATCATAAATAAGCAAAGGTACATTGTTCAACTTAAGGTCTGGCCTAGTCTACGGAGTATATCAAGTCTGATAATTTCAAGGCCTACCTAGGAACTTCTGGTTTTCTGGAATACTCGTAACTAAGGTTTGACAATGTCAATGTATGATATGACATTTTTTTGAAATCAGAATTAGAAAGTCTATTAATTGATAATAAAGTTGATGCTGGAGGACAAAAGACGAAAAATCATATTGAAATTCTAATTATGTCATCTTATAGACGAGAAAAGCAATTTTACTCGCAACATGCAACTTATTTTTGAATCGCTTTTCAAATGAAGGCAGGAACAAAAAAATGTGATCTTGGGATAAATCGGGTATGCGGAACAAATTATTTTCAGGTAATTTCAAGACCTACCTAGAAAATTATTATTTTTTAAATAACTGAGGTTTGGCAACATCAATGAATAAATTTTTGAAGTAAGAATTGAGAAACTCTATTGATCCGTGCAAAAGTCCAATATGGTATCCATAATAAAAGATAACGTTGCTAAGGACAAGTGACAAAACGCTACATAGAAATTTCAATAATGCCATCTGGTAGAGGAGAAAAATTACAATGCGAATGTGCAATTTATTTTGAAACCCCACTACAACTAAAGTAAGGAATAATTTTGGAATAATTCGTTTTCCCTCTCTCTCTCTCCGAAAGTACTTTGAATTTTGAAACTTTCGAGCTGGTATTTTGATGATTATCTCTTACAACTTTGTCTTTATTTGAGAGACTTCGTATCTCTTACAGTTTCCGAGATCCCTATATTACAGATATTGCTTAGGAATATATTTTGTTTTTTTAACACATCTTACGATAGATAATATACATATGTTTTAACACTAATTGGCGGCTTATTTTGAATTTGTTTTTCTTATTAACAGTATGCTGGAGAATGGATGGGACACGTAGCAGCTGGAAATCCCATTTTTCCAATCAATCCATGCCTAACGCTGGAAATTGGTGAAAATGATGCTGATAAGGTGAAACTAGGCTTCAAAACTGGCGAGTAGGTATCAATTTGTTACGCTGTGTATTCCGCAGTGCCGCCAAAATATATTATCTTCTTCATCTTGCACATACGATACCTCCTAGACACCACCTTTCAACCCAAAAATACAAATTTATTGTATTTCCTAACGGTGGACCGAGGGCTGTGATAGTTGAGCGCTTCTGTAGATTCAATTGTTTATAACTCAACAACTGTTTATCAAACATTATAGTAGGTTATATCAATCTTTTTCCTTTGAAAGTGTCCACCTGATTATGTGATATAGCATGACGCATCCAGTCGCCATCTTATAACTTTTACGCGAAACCATGGTATATGCGCATCAATTGGATCACCTAAAATTTCTTGTGGAAATCATTGCATAAAATGAAATAGTCTTAGAGAATATATAGTAATTATGTCGGAAGCTATGGAACTTGATAACATGAACTAATTGGGTCTTAAAAGTGAGTGGGAGGGAGACAAAGGCCTATATAGAAAATTTAGCTAACCAAAATGATCAAAAAAAGAAATTCGGGAGTACCTTACATGACTACATATAAATTTCCGTTATAAACCAAACCTACCAGCTAATCTCAATCACCCGATAGAAACTAATGATTATTATAATATAATGAGTCTGTGTATAAGAGTCAGTCTGTGAATCTGTTACCTAATATTACTCCAAAATAGTTACATCCAGAACTGAATGTTTGGTTGAGCAAAATGCACTCCAGTGTCGTATGACAAGCGGTAAAGTCACTAAAGTCGGATGCAAAGGGAATTGACGGTCTATCTCGGTCCATGATCCGATTGTAGTTACCGGTTGCACTCTTTCACATCATGCACATCATTCATGGTTGTTCAGAATGGAGGAACTCGCTAAAAGCATGAACAAGTCTTGACTGTATCAATCCCAAAAAGCTTAAACCCGCTAAATTCAACTACCTTGGACCAGTTTACTACCAATTCTGTCTAAAATGCTGGAGAAGCTGGTAAAATTGCAACTAACCATTAATTTCTAAAAATACTCAATAAATCCGGATACCCAATTTGACTTTAGACAAATTATACTACAACATCAGCGCTTTTCAATTGCAAGATAATATTTTAGGAAACTACAATAAGAAAATTGCTTTAACGCTAATATCTACAGGTTTCGCGAGAGTATCAATCCTGAAGTAATGATATCTGAATTAAATTACATAGGTATTGATAGCTTAGATCTTTCATGTTTCAGGAGTTACCTTGATCAAAGGACCCAATATGTTTGCATTGAGCACAACATTTCTCCTGTGACGATTCCTTCATGCATGCCCCAAGGCTCTCTGTTAGGACCGTTATTATTTCTGATATATAATTTTGACTTGAATAAGATTCTTGATAGTTCACATATCCAACTTTTCGCAGATGAAACACAATTGTTACACTATTTTAACCCCCAGAAGGTCCAAGATATTGTAGAAACTTTACAAAATGAGGTTCAAAGTTTAGTACAACATTCGTCTGATCATAATCTAGCTTGCAACCCTCAAAATGTATTTTTTGTGCTTAAAAAAAGAAGAATGACTTAATGTCACTCTTGAAGGTCCAAATAAGTAATAAAACATACAGCTCTCTGAATCTGCAGAAATGCTTGATGTTGTTTTTGACACAAAAGATCTATCGAAAATGTCTGAAGTCCTTCGTAGAAAACTTATATGATGCTACGTACTCTAATTGTAAACAAATATATGTATAAGTACTAAATTCCAAGATATGTAAAATATTATGTGAATCCTTGATCGTGTCTGTAATACAGTATAACTGTTCAAGTTTAAACAGCTATGGTATACCAAAAACCAAATTCGATTGATCCAAAAATAACTGTGTTTGTTTTATTTATGGACTCCGGAAATTTGATCGTGTATCAGCAAAATATCCAACACTCAATTAAATGATTTGTTTTCAGTTTTCACCCATAAATTATTACTTACCTTGAAAGTGCCCTACTTGCGAAAAAAATCAATGAACAATGATATTCATTGTAAACCACTTGGAGATAAAATTATCAGGATTCCTCAGAATATATAGTTGCCATCATATACCGTTTACCAAAATTGCCTAAGCAATACTCATTGTCAGATTTTCGACAAAAAGTGTAATTCACCTTAATGACTTGACTAAACAATCACGCTTTTTTCTTTCTTAACCATTTTTTTGTTTTTCTACTCTTTGGTGTACTTTGCTTTGGAAAGTATGCTAGTTTTCGACTAATTATAATAATTTATTACTAGAAATTAAAATTTGTTGTCAATAAGATCTTTAACATCTATTAGTAACTTACATGGTGGAATGGCGAATTTCAAGTTAGTTTTCCAGATCTCGTGGAAATTGGAATTTAAATTAGAAGACATCAAGTTTCACTTAACAAATCGTGCCTAATGTTATAAATATTATCAAGTTGACAAAATGGTCAATTTACAACACAACATCCATATCAGGATTTTCTATCAACTGAAATCGAACACAGCAGTGCTATAAGTCATACTACATGGAAACTACGTCATTTTAGAAAAAAGGTAGAAGCCTCTTAAAAGTTACATATGTGGTATAAAATGCTCAGAAAGCCAGCAGCTATTTTTTATATTTGTAAATTGACCACTTTGTTGTTGCAGAGGTAAGGCCGTCATCGAAGGGGAAGTAGTCAGCTCCTCAGGAGGAGATTTCAAAACCGTTTTTGGCGGAAAAAGTAAGTTTTATCATAGCCATTTTGCAATAATTTGATATAATCATAAAAAAAGTTGAGATTTAATTGTTATCCTTAGTGTCAGATACAATATTATTGGTGGATAATTCTTCTATTTGTTTTTCAGAACTGTTATATAAAGTCTTGGCCACAGATTATAAAACTCATGCAGTCATATATATGTGCGACGAAGATACTGGAAATGGTGAGTTTCATATCAACTAAGACTTGTCCAAAAGCCCTATAAAACACAAGTATTCAAGAATTATTGAGAACTGAATGTCACAGTCATTTTTCTATCCATTCTTTTTGTCGAACTTATACATACGTGGATGGTACTACTTGCTATCGTATTTCCCTGTACATACAATTTAAGGATTTTATTTTATTTACGCACCTTTTGTAAATGAATGTTCTCTTTGCATTACTGATAATCAACTCTGCAGCCTTAAAATTATAATGAAATCATTACACACTAAGAGCATAGAATACTATAATGAAGCCGTTCAATCTAGTATCCTCGAAAACTTAACAGATTATCTCAATGCGACTTACATCCAAATGGCAAAAGTGATCTACAGTTATGGAAGTAATACCAAATTTTGACTAGTCGCGTTTCGATGAAAATAATGTACGCCTGTCTTTTTGTTTTTTAACCAGTATACTCCTTTTCAGGCAATATTGCAGTTCATATGAGGTCTAGGACGCCTGATGCTACACTATTGGAAGAAAAGTTGGCTGCTGCACAGAAATTGCTGTCCAAACCTCTCAGCCCGCGAACAGAGTCGGATCACAGCAAGTGCTAAGATTCGTTTTAGTATAGTAGTAATAGTAGCAGTAGTAGTATTAGTAAGGAAATCGAAGAAATATAAAATCAAATAAATGCCTTCCTCATATTTATTGTTTGATTTATTTAGCGGTAGCACTAATCTTATCTACAATACGTATTTCATACTGCCTTTATATTCCGATTTCCAAAATAGACAGTCATGAACTTTAAATACGATTTTTCATTAAACTCCAACCCCTTACATTTTATCCACATGGCACGTAATTCAAAAAATTACCCCCTATTGAGCGGTGTCGTGGCAAACGCTTGTTCCGGAAATTGTTCTATTCAGTATACAACTTCTTCCCGTTCAAGCGATTGTTTACGCGTTAAGGAATATCTCAGTACCGATTGTCGGGTGGCTGTACAAGTCCGCCAACGGACCACTTTAGGTCTATGTAATATCATTAAATGCAGTCGGTTATCTTCCAAAACAAAGAAATTAATTATGATGGATCCTTCAGCACTAAGAATTCCGGACGTGAACTCACTCCACTCTTGGAATGTCCGGATGGATGGTGGGCTCGAGGAAACAACATCAAAGATAAATTTTGTTTTACGAACATCTGCGGGATTAACAGCAACATTGATGCTGTTTATCACTACCTACAGTCCAATCGTCCCGTAATGCTGTTATTGACGGAGATAAAAATCTCAGAGTCTGCGCCGTTTAACCATCTTAGCTTCACAAATTACGAGGTGTACTCCAATCTGAGAAAGAACGGGGGAGTTGTGGTTTTTCCCGCTCCAGAGATGTTTCTTTGGAATCAGACCGGAAGGAAATTCTGTGGCTCCGCTTCAGCTCCAAAATATCATCCAAATTCATTTGCTGCCTTTATCGCCCTCCCTCTGCCATGACTGGGACGACCTCCTAGAATACCTCGCCATCAACATCGACTTCCTGAACATCAATCATAATGAGCTTGGGTTGGGCTCAAACAAAACCGATGCAGCAGGTCGTGCAGTCGAAGCGTTCTCTCTTACTCAGCGGCTGACCCAGCCACATGCCAGTAGCTTGCTGGATCTCCTTCTGACCACGCATCCTGTCCCTTACAGCGCTGCTGTCCTGTGTCCAGGACCACGGTGTTGTGGAGGTTAGGTATCGGTTAGAACCCTCTGTGGCAGCAAAAACTCGTACAGGCCACAAATCTTGGCATTACGGACATGCCGACTGGGAGGGACTCAGAGACTTCTTCTCCACCTTTCCTTAGAGAGATGTCTGTTTCACTGACGGGGATGCGTCGGCTGTGTGTTCTTCGATAAACGAAATTATCCACGTTAGAATGGAGGTATAGATACATACAATCAGGGTCCAAGGCACACATAACCAACTTACAAAACCCCACTGTAGAGAACAGACAAGCCGACGTCGAGTCCAGAGACAAATATGACGAAGCGGTTTGCAATGCCAAAAACCAGCACGATATAAAAGTCAGGCAGAGGGTAGTGTCGCAGCGCAATGACAATCGGTCTTTTTGGACGTTGGCCAAGCAGACTGAAAATAACTTCTCACACAGTAGCCTTCCACCACTTACGTGTTAGGATGGAACGATTGTATCCGACTCAAAGGCCAAGGTAAAAGTGCTTGCCAAGATCTTTGCTGCCAACTCCACCATGGACGTCCCCCTCAACCCAAAGACCAAGTGCCAAGGGTTCCCTACACTATGCGAGAGGTAACATTCAGACATAAGACCGTAAGACAAGTGTTCTTGTTGCTCGACATCAACAAAGTTTCTGGCCCGGACTTGATTCCTGCCATTGTGCTGAAGAGTGTGCAGTGGAGCTTGCTTCAGTTTTTTCGCGTCTCTTCCAGATATCTTATGAATCCGGCACCTTCCCAGAAAACTGGAAGTTTGCTTATGTCCAACCCATCCCAAAGAAAAGATCTAAGAACAACCCTTACAACTGCAGGCCTATAGCTCTGCTTTCTGTCATAAGTAAGGTGATATGGAGTTCCATAAATAGCGAGCTTCTGGACTACCTCGAACGTCACAGCTTGACTAGCGACAAGCAGTATGGTTTTCGGCAACAGCGATCCACAGGGGACCTCTTAGGTTACGTCAAGCAATTGTGGTGAGGATCATGTCGTTGCTCTTGACATCACGAAAGCGTTCGATCAGCTGTGGCACGCAAACTTCCCTTCCATGACTTCCCAGAAAGTCTTTGTAGATAGGTGGCTGACTTTATCTCTGGCCGCAACATATCCGTCGTAATTAACTGGTTCTCCTCTTCATCCCACAATGTCAACGCGGGTGTTGCCCAGGGATTGGTCTTGGCTGCGACACTGTTCCTCTTACACATCAGCGGCCTCCTTTCCTGCATGGTCATATCCCGCAGTATTCGCAGCACATCCTCCCTATCGAGTCGCTCCCCTGGAACTTTGTCCGAAAGGTATGCTACGCATGTATGGGGTTTAGGAAGATTGCCCACCTTGACAAACTTGACCTTGGCGCCTTCCCGAGGCTGGAGGTGCTTTGCCGCATCTTTAAGCCAGTTCATGCTTTATTTGTCCAGACAATATCGCCTTTTGAAGGGCAAACAATTGCTCCTTGGTAAAGACGATCGCAGGATGCTCCCCGCAATCTCTCCATACATCGGAGCCTGCCTTCTCAGCTTTTTCGGTACCTGTTCGGGAGTGCTACCTTCCAAACGGGGCCGCTTGATGCAGCCAGCAATGGGAACGACTTCACGCCCTCTCTGTTCCTACCTGCTGCAGTTGTAGTTTTTGCCCTTGTCATTCGCTGATTCCCCCAGGATTTTTGCAAGCGTCGCCTCTGCTTTTGAAAAGCGCTGTCAGGCGTCTTCTCCTTGCACCCGGGAATCTTTTCCAATGATTTTGAGCCTGCCACCTCTGGCAGAGGGGGGTTCAGTCGTTCCCTCTCCTGTTTAGAGATGATAGACAGTGGAGTCATTTCTAGACTCCTGTTAGCAGGGGTCAGCTCGCCCTGAGGAGCCTCTGTCAGAGTATCATCCTCTGAAGCCCCAGAGATGCGATTCTTCTCCCTGCTATGATGGAGATGACGGCCAAACGCCAAACTTACTCCGGAATTCGGCTCGGTCTTCCGGAGGGTCCGTTCACGATGCCGATCGCCCCGACACCATTCATCCCTCAGCAAGGAGCCTCACACCTTGGATCCGGTGTTTTACCAGAGCCCGGGGGGGCAGAGGGTCCGTTGCCCACTCCACGCTGTCGCGTACAGGAAATACCTCGTCGCACACGAACTCGAGGACGTTATGGTAATGTCCATCCTGACACGTAAGCGGTGGAAGGCTACTCTGTGAGAAGTTACTTCCAATCTGCTTGGCGTCCAGAAAACATAACTGTCATTGCTCTACATTGCGGGCCGCTTCATTATATTTGCTTCTGGACTTTGTCTCGTCTGTTCTCTTCAGTGGGGCTTTATTGAAAGGTTCTGTGTACTTTGATTTTCTGCTGACGAGCAGTGTCGCCTGATTTGTTGAACCTGCCGTTGGACCCTGGTTCAGGCACTTTTATTGTATGAGTGATGTATTTCTCCATCTCAACGTGGATAATTTCGGTTATCGATGAACAGACAGCCAAC